ACATTCTGTACGATTTCAGCTCCGAGAATTTGGTGTTAGTGAAAATTATACTATATTTCATGTTTTTATGTCTTCTTACTACCAAGATGCTTGAAAGAGAAATTATATCACAAGGAGAGTCTCCTATTTGGTCACTACAATATCTGAGTTACTTTTGTTACCTACTGCGGGAAAGTAATCTTTTTACGGTTAAAAAAAGAGATACGAATAAGAATAAAAGAAACTAGGATGGACGAGGATTGCAGATGAAAAACTTGAAATGTAGAACTGAGGTTTGTAGCCAAAGAGAGTGACGCAGTCACAGGAGTGGATTCAACGTCTTGTTAAGTTTGTGTGACAACCATCAAAAGACATGTTAATCCGTACCACGTAACGCTTTAAAGCGAGGCAGTCATTGTATTACTTTGTCGCTGAGGTATTTAAAGGTTTTAGAGACATTAAAATGCTGCTGTGGACAATTTTGGGACTCATGTTCTTCACTTTTTCCTTAAATGTTTCAAGTAAGTGTGCTATTTATTGCATATGCATGAAATGATGTAATGAAGTGTGCCATGAATATGTCAGAAGGTATCGTTAAAACGGTGCGCAGATAAACGTGGTCAACGAGTAACAGTTTATGCTTTAGAACTTTGTCCTCTTTCTTTGTCCGACGGATTTACCAGATTTAAGTCAAAGGAACAGCCCTAGATCTCATTTTTTATCCACTACAGATAGGGAAATTCTGCCGAAATCAACACAGACATCGCAAAGTAGCTGTAGACAATTGTTATTGTCAAGATTAAGATTACGACCAAGCTTCTTTGGTATTACAGTATTATAGAACAGGCTCGCTCGGAGACCATGAATTATTTAACTCCACCGTTCAATAGTGTAGGTAAAGTTATCATGCCTACTGTGTTTTGAGTTTCCCAGATATAAACCCGATCTCTTGATGATTGTTTTCAAATGTGCTTAATGTTCCTAAAAATGTGCCTAAAAAATGTGCCTAAAAACGTGATGCCGCCATTTTGAATATTCTTTAACTCTCCGGCTGATTACCTGTGCGGAAACTAAGTCCGCTCGTTTCGTCTCTCGGAGATCGTTTTGAATAATCAGGATCAACAGTAAATGGTAGTTTTGCCCATTCTTCAGTTTCTAGGAAAGAAAGTGTTTGTTCAGCGATTGACGTGCGATGTGCTTTCGCGTATGCGTTTGTTTATTGAGTTGTTATCAAATTGACAGCGACCGAATTCGAATTTGAAGGACATTTGGATAAAACTTTAAGTAGCTAATTCATTCTCTCTTTAGACTCTCAAACCACGTCAGGGGCTGGAGCTTTCTTCTCCTTTTATCGTAACGGAACTATAATTCACATTCTCACCGACAAGGCTAAAACGAAATACTGGGACAGGTAAAACGTTCAAGCATACGATTTATAGTCCAGCCTGTATTAAGCGGCACTGTATTTAAGCAGTCACCTGTAATAAGCGGTCAGTTGTCGAAGTCCTGAATTTGATTTCTGCAAATCACTGTAATCTTCACCACTATTAAGCGGTTACCTCTATTTAGCGGTCGCGGTCTCCCTTTTCTAAGTCCCAACAGTTTACATTGAACAGCCACTGAAAGCGGAACCAGTCAAATAAAACTAATAATAATCTTTCAAGAAATTTTAATCCATGTTTCTCACTCAAAATCATAGTAATATTATCGAGCGAGATTCTGTACACAACGTGGTCAATTCTAGCATAAATGGCGTTGTTTATCGGTTTTTAACCTCTAGTGCAAAGCACAGACACATTGCTTTGACGCTAAAAAATATGAGTAAGTGCTTCATTTATGACAAACTATGAAGTTCCTTTGAGGTTTCTCATATAACGGCGTACATGATGTATTTGGTAAGTATTCTTTTCTGGGTAAGATCATCGATAATCACTTGGTATTCCCTCTTAACCCGAAATAAACAACCGATGAAAACGTATGGCAATCTGAACCAGACGAATTAGTGATGAGGACAAACTCATGAATACTGATAAGGCTGATGAGGGTCCAATGACACACAATTTCCATCCAGAAATCCCAGAGACGTTCGCAACAATTTGTAAGGCTTAACATTCTTAAGACCATGCGAATCACCAGTAGAAAAATTCACATAAAATACAGAGGTAAATTTTCAGAGCTTTGATTAAAGAGAGTTGTCATACAGGCATTCAGTTAAAAAAATACTTTCACTTATTCATTTCAATGCAGTCTGCTTTGTGACCATGCACCATTTGATTATTTTTTACTTTCTCCAGAATGCACTCGTTGGCCAGCTGGAACATATGGTCTACCCAAACCAGTATCCGGGTGTCCCTGGTCAGAAGGTATTTTGTGGAGAGAAGGATGGAGGTCCCAAGGCACCTTCGGAATACAAACGAACAACTCAAGGTCACCCGAATTTCACCTTGATGGAAAGGTGAATAGCAATGAGGTCAAAAGATCCTTCTGTATTAAATACCGTATGACAAGTGATTGGAACAGACCTCCATGGCCGAAAGGTGGGTTGCAATTTGTTCTCATGAAAATTTTTGCCGCACAACATGTGTCCTCCATTTATGCTCATTGCTAACCTAACTCGAAACAAGGCCTATAAACTATCAACTTCTTGCTTTGCACCATTCTTTTTGAACAGTGAGGCCGTTATCCGTTGATCTCTCGTCGTCAGTGGTATTCAATACCCTCTCGTCATTTTCTGATCTCTTACAGGGAAGTACTGCATCTACAAAAAATATAGATGCCCTAAAGGTTTATCATTCGGTGAACTCTTCTGGGATGATCAAGACGGCTATCGGATTAACGAAGATGGCGGAGTACTTCCCGAGGGCAGATATAACCACGACACAACTATCAAATTTTGCTGCAGAACAGACGGCGATAGAGATGACCCAGTTCTTCTTCCGGTGAAATCTCCATTTTTTCTTCTGGCGTATGAGTCGGCAAAGTGCCAGATGGTCAAATGGGCTGTTTCTACTGTGGAGTGGATACATTATGATACAGAAGATTCGGACAACCAAGACGAAGCACTTGGTGCGTACCCTTACAACGCTGGAAAAATTCATCCCACCATTTTTTATTGTTACTACCGAGGTGAGGGTCAATCGCCTCGCAGTTGAAAAATGATCAGCAAGTATTGAAATAATCAATGGACTCGTTTAAAGGTGTCCAGTTGTGTTATAGACTTACATACTTTTGATTGTACTGGAAACTGTCGGATACCATATTCGAGTTTAACGAACATTAGGCGATCTTCCCTCAGAAGTGGTATGTTTAGATAAATCAAACGAACGACCAAGACAAAGCACCATGCTGGAAAAAGTCACCCCGCTATTTGTTATTTTTACTATGGATCCGGAAGTGAGGCTCAATTGCCTTTGGCGGCCATAGCCTTTGCCTTTGGCAACAGTTTTGGCGGCGTCCAGTTGTGTTATACCTGTAATCTATACAGCCTTTTCTTTACATTGGCAATTGTCAATAGCACACTGATAATTACCGGAGTCTTGAGAAACCATCTTAGAGATTGACGAACTTTTGAGTGAACATTCCACCAGAGGATCACTGGTTCTGTATTGAAAGTTATTCATGTATATTTGTTATTTCCTAGGGTGCAACGAAACTCTCACCTCAGTCAGCGGTACCTTCCATTCACCAAATTATCCAAGAAATTACCCCCATGGCCAATATTGCTCTTGGAAAATAAAGGTTAATACAACCCTACGTATTCGATTGACGTTTAAAAACTTTAGTCTTCAGATCGAGAAAAACACGGACCAGTTATACGTTTATGATGGGGAGAATGAAACAGGGAAGATACTGGATGTGTTTTATGGGGATCATCCTCCCCCAAAGGAAGGAATTTACTCTTCTTCCAACAGCTTATTCGTGATCTTCAAGTCAAACAAGAATGATTCTTTTGCCGGCTTCAGTGCTTACTATGACACTATTTATGATCCGGGTAAGTAATTTTCACCCTTAAGTTTAATACCCATGCCTTGCAATAATAGGCATTTCTCCTTTTTTCCGGAGTTTATAAGGAGCCATGTTAGAAATTAACGAACATTTAGGCGAAAATTCTACCAGCGGATCACTGATTCTACATGGAAAGTTATTCATGTATATGTGCATTTTTTATTTCCTAGGGTGCAACGAAACTCTCACCTCAGTCAACGGTATCTTCCGTTCACCAAATTATCCAAGAAATTACCCCCATGGCCAATATTGCTCTTGGAAAATAAAGGTTAATACAACCTTACGTATTCGATTGATGTTCACAGACTTTAGTCTTCAGATCGAGAAAAACACAGACCAGTTATACGTTTATGATGGGGAGAATGCAACAGGGAAGATACTGGACGTATTTTATGGGGATCATCCTCCTCCAAAGGAAGGAATTTACTCTTCTTCCAACAGCTTATTCGTGATCTTCAAGTCGGACAAGAACGACTCTTATGCCGGCTTCAGTGCTTACTATGACACTGTTGATGATCCGGGTGAGTAATTTTCACCCTTAAGTTTAATACTCATGCCTTGCAATTATAAGCATTTCTCCTTTTCTTCATATTTAGAATTTCAACACAAGCTGCTTATCTATTCAAAATCGCTCACATGCTTCAAAACGTACTAAATAATAAAATGTTATGTGTATGTTGATACAAGTGTTATATTTTCCATCATACAGTAAACTTATAAATTCATCAATTTTACAATAGATGTGCACCTTTCCACAACACCAGCACCGATGGTCAGCAAAAACCCGAAATTGACACAGAAATCAACATCCATTACCGCTATACCATCCGAGGAAATTGAGCCATGTAATGAAAGAGAACATCTGGGAGTCAAAGGTATCCTGATGCAATAACTTTCTATACGTTAACGATACGAGTTAATTCAGCCCCGCTCAAAGTTATTCTTTCTAAAGGGAATTTTTTATATCCAACGGAAACGTTTCATGTATAAATTGTACTAAATCTGTTAGATTTTTTAATGTACTTTCAGAGTTTGTTTAAGATTACATCTTTGGAATGTTTCTTTGTGTGTTTGATTTTTTTTTCAGGTACGCAAGCTAAACGGGAACGGGAACAGGCCACGATCAAAAAAGACATTGTGTATGGATCTGTGATTGGAATACTTGCCTTACTGCTGGTAGTCTCTTTATTTTACCAATGTAGAAAGAAACACAAACGTAAGTGATTGCGTTGGAGTATCATGTCAATCAGAATTTTAGTGTGACCTCAATGAAACTGCGAACATTTACAACGTGAAAACCATTTTCTACCTATCGAGGGCTGAACTGATCGCTTCATTATTCATTCATTGCAATTAAAATTTGGTTTGGAATGAGAAGGAAGAAGTCTGCTGAATTGATGATAATATCAAGACCCTTATGGTGAAAAATACACATTAGAAAATATTGCTAAAGCCACTATACCGCTCAGGTTTACAGTCCTCATTTATACACTTGATATTACCTGTCAGCAACCTAATTCATGTTTTACAGCAGTCATGTAATTAAGTAAGTCGTAACAAAAAATTATTGCTGACGCTTTTGTTCTACAATGCAGAAGAAGCGGCTGAAATTAAAATCAACGATCAGAAGTTCACCAGCCAACAACATGATCCTGAGAATGGCATGGGAGAAGAAACGATACCATTTCAAAGAAGTTCAGAAGGAAGGACGTCTCTGAACTAGTCAAAAGATTGTACACCACCATCTGCTGGACTACTATCGGTGGCAGTTCCCAAAGACAATGTTGTTATTTTAAAGATAACTTAAAGATGATGTAAAACGAAGAAGCTATAAACAAGTACCAGCTCTCCAAGGAAAGTTTTACTGAACTGCGCTGAACGTGGAAATAAACCTCTATCATGTATAGTGCAAAGAGGCGATTTACAAATCTTTTAAGTTTGCTGTTTTAGAAGGGGTGTATTTCTTTTTATTTTGTCGAAATAAACTGCCTGTAGGGTCATGGCTACATAGCAGCTTAATAATAAAGTTACTTCTACTCAGTGATCACCTTTGATCGTCCTAATTACTTCCACGACCTGAGCGATTATCCTTTTCAATTTCGTGGGGAAGGGGGTACTATTTGACGTGTTGCTTTTTCTCTGTCGAAGAGGAAAACATTTTAAATTACCCTGCAACTATCAACTCATAAACTAAAGTATATGCCTCTAGTGAAACTCTGATAATTATCTTAATTATAACATGTATAATTTGCCCAATCAGATGATATAAAAGAATACTTCTGGGTCGGTTTGATTAACCCTTTCACTCCCAAGATGTAAATATCAATTCTCTGCAATGTCTACCATACATGTCTTACTTATTCAGGTTTGAAAATTTGATGTTTAAATCAAACAATATCCCCTAGAACATAAATAAAAAACCACACGACTGGGCTCCTAATAGGAAAAAAACTAGCAAGGAGGGCTAAGAAGAATAATAGCATGAATCGCAGATGAAGAACTTGAATATAAAGAAACGAGTCAGATCCATTGACCGTTACGCAGTCGTAAGCCGCGAGTTCGACGTGATATAAAATTTGCGTGACAACCATTGAGTGATAAACGTTTGCATACATATATCTTGACCGGTATATCCGTATCAAGTCACGCTTTATGAGGATTCGAAACAGAGTAAAGATCATATGCTTCAACACATTGGAGATATTTCAAAGATCTTAGCGACATTAAAATGCTACGGAGGACAATTTTAAGACTTATAGTCTTTGCCAGTACTTTACGTTTGTCAGGTGAGTTATGTGCGAGAGATTCCGCTGAGAGACATAAATATATGAGCATACAATGAAAATGTCGCTTAGAGAGGTGCTTAGACACTCTTGTTAAACGATTAACAGTTAATGCTTCAGGAATTTTGTTTTCTCCCTTTACGTGACAGGTAAATGTAAATGTTAATGTAAAGGCGTTAAACATAAATTCCTTCCTTAGTTATCCACTAGAGAAGGTAACATTCGGCTGACATAGTCACCATCCCCGAATAGATAAATACGACGGTGTAATTTGAGTGTAGGTATTGCATACTTTCATTAGGATTACAGTATCAGCGTAGCCATGAAACTGTATCTTTTTTTTATCCTGACACAGCCAATACGAAATGCTAAGATAGGTAAAACGTTTAAGCATTCGCTGTGCCTCTTTTTATGTTACGTGAAATAATGTTATTCGATGAGTTATGATGTAACGTTATTCATAATACTCCCTTGACCACTCAAGTGATCAAAGGGTCAAAACATTTGAAGAAGCGGAAGAAGCGGACGTCAGATGTTAAAGAATTCGAAAAAAAAAATATGGGGTGGAAAATTGGAAAGTCTTCACCTGCATTTCAAGGAGGTATCTAAAATCGATTTATTCAAATTTCTTATTAATAATTGGTTCACCTTCAGAATCTGTTTGGTGGCCTGCTGGATCATATGGAATACCAAAACCTGTGTCTGGCTGTCCTAGGACCACTGGCTTTCAGTGGAAGAAGGGATGGAGGTCTCAGGACACAAATGGTGCATCATCAAATAATTCCAGATCCCCTGACTTCCACCTCGATGCCGAAGTAGATGAGACCAAAGTCCAAAGATCATTCTGTATAAAAACATCCATAATTGACGACCATAACAGACCGAAGTGGCCACAAGGTAATAACTAAGAGTCGTGAAGTTTGGGGGGTTAGGGTTAGGGTTAGCCCCAGACAACGACCGTTGAAAATATGTTGTTTAAGAAGCGGAGGTCTTAATCATGAAATAGTCCCTTTATTTTTGCTAAGTTTTGAATGTGTTGTATATCATACATGGTCAGTCTTCCAGGGAAAATTACCTCTATTATTGGATGTTTGCCTACAAAAGAAAGTTTCAGAAGGATGATCTAATTTGTTGACGTGTATCGTGTTTGTAGGACCCCAACGAACACTAGAAATTAAAAACCTGAAATACAATCAGACGTGCTCGCGACGGCCAGCACTGAATAAGAGAGCTATCAAAAAAGGGACACTTGTACATGACTGTTAATGTACGTAGTCTATGACATGACCTTGGTCTACAAACATGAAAATATTCAGTTGTCATTCTTGCCGATCAATCCCTGCAGGACAATATTGTATCTACAAAAGGGGACCCTGCCCTGCAAACTTTGAAAAAGGATATGTCTACTGGGATGATGACGACAGTAAACAAAATGAAAATAAACATAATGGAACGCTTCCTGATGGTACGTACAACAAGGACACGAGAATCGAGTTTTGCTGCAAAAGTGACGGGGAAAAAGATACTTCTATTCTCCTTCCCTCCGAATCTCCATTTTTCCTGCTGGCTTACAACTCAGGCAAATGTCAGATGGTCAAATGGGCGATAGCCAGTGTAGAGTGGATTTATTATGATACTCAAAACAAAAACAACTACGATGGAAGAGGCGGAGAATTCCCTTATGATGCCGGTAAAAAGCATCCCAAAATGTATTACTGTTACTACACTGGTGAGTAAAAAGTTACCTCTACTTTTTATATTTTGAAGAGATCATACACAGATACATGTTGGCTTATGCACGTTTGTAAGCTGACACGATTAAAATTCCATTTGTTGAAGTAGGTAAAAAAAATCCATCTTGGATGTGAAAAAAAGGTCTCAGCAGTTGCTGAAGGCGTCTCTTACCTAAAGTCTCAACACCCTTTAGTGGCCTCTTCGGCTTCATTTTTTTACTCTGCCCAGCTATTAAGTGGCAAGAGTGATATTACGATACGTGATACAAAGGGATCTAATAAACTAACGTTCAAATTAACAAATAGATTCCAAGTTGCCGTGCGTCTATTCAGTAATAGATCACAGATGACGTCAAAATGTGGTAAGAAGAAAAAAGTGGCACACGAGGCACAACCGAGTGTGTCACTGATGTTCTTATCACATTTTGACATCCTCTGTGATCTATTACTGAACAGACGCAAGGCAAATTGGAATCTATTTGTTTTATATCATAAAGAATTAAAAAAAGTTTTAATGATGACGTCATCTATACATCTGTCCGCCTATAGATCATAAGTAAGAACCAATCAGAATGCGTGCGTAACTGAGCTTCTTATATAAACTAGTATAGATGCTTCGTTACGACCATCATCATTTCTCCGTCATCATCATTATCATCAACAAAAATGCAACTCTCATTCAACTTTATTGTGTACATGTATGACACCAGGTGAAGTTAAATTTGTATATACACATAAAATTGTGTGGATAAAGGGGTACGTTTAAGAAACTGGTGTTGCGTCGGTGGGGAGTATAATAAGATAATTCGGTCGTCTTTCGCTCTGACGAAGGGCTAACACTCGCAAAGTCAGCTTTAGAAACTCTTTACGGTGTATAATTTACATTATCAAGTTAGTTGATGAAACCAAATTATCCTATGAAATTATGTGTATATTAAACCATATATACATGACATATGTGTATATCTGTTCTCAGGTTGTAAGAAAACTCTAACTTCAACCAATGGCACTTTCCATTCACCGAACTATCCAAGAAAGTACCCGAATGGTCAATACTGCTCGTGGACGATCACAGTTAACTCAACACAACAGATCTTATTGATTTTTACTGAATTTCGACTGCAAAACAAGATTAACACAGACGAATTATACGTTTATGATGGAAAAGATTCAAAGGGAGAGGTGCTAGGAGTCTTTTATGGAGGTCACCCTCCCCCAGAAAAAGGAATGTACTCTTCATCTAAGCACATGTTTATAATTTTCAAGTCAGACAAAAATAACTCTTACACCGGCTTTAAAGCGTCTTACTTTGGTGTCAATATTTCAGGTAAGTATTGTTTGTTGTCTTTTCATCTTTGCTCCAAAAATTATGTTTAGTTAAGATTTAGTAAAGCAACGAAGCAGAGTTCAAGGGTTCAAATTCATTTTCTGGGGAATGTGCAGATATCATGCAATTAAAAGATATATTTGCCAAAATTATAAGGCGAACGATTAAATTAAATAATGCAAGTCATTTAACGGATTACTAAAACCTTTATTTCCAAAAAGCGTCAACAGGATCACCAGACAGGACGACACTAAGTGAGATTCCTTCATCTCCAGCTGATGACCCGAACAGTAGAGAAAAGGGCGAACCTGAAAACAAAGGTAACAAGATGACTGTGGTTCTTCTTCTGTATTACCCGGCACTGTATCGAGCAAATTAATTAAACACTGTAATTTCCACCTCCATTAAACGGTCACCTCTATTTAGCGGTCGCGCTCACTTTAGAGTGAGTCCCAACGGCCCGTTTCTATTGTCTTCCACCCGTACTGAACGGTCACTTAAAGCGGAACCTCTCATATAAAACTAAGAAAAAGCTTTCAAGTGTGTTTAATCCACGTTTATCTCCAGAAATCAACG